CCCCACTCATTGAGCTCACCATGTTTATGGGACAAGTTTACAACACCAAGGATCCATGGAAGATGCGTGTTATTATTTGATGCTCCACAGCAGACGAGCCCAAGTGTGCCAGACTCTAACTATCTATGATTCGCATCCCGACGATTCTGACGGGGTGAAAAAAGTAACACCCCGTTTTTCCGAAAGAGAAAGCGTGTGAGCCACGTTTTTTTCGTGCTGATTAGTTTTGGGAATATCATCGCCTCGGCTGTCAAACATTTTGAATGGTTCTGGGCCAGCATTTTGGCCCCGTTTTAGCCAGAGCCAGTCAAAGCAACTCACAGCATCTGCCATAACTCACATATTTCCCAGGCCGTGCCGACTGCAGTCGCAGTCATGCATAAATTATGCTACGTTGCGTATACGCAATGTCTGACACCATAAAAATGGCACCCAGACAAAAGGCGAAGATGACACAATTCGGGCACTTGGCCAAAAGGTTAAATGCACGCTGATTGAGGTGAACTCCGCTTGCTGGCTCATCCGTATCCTGGCCAGCATTCAAATCCTTTAGATGCTGAACAGTAAGCATTCCACAGATTACACAGAGAAAAATCTCTAATTTTATTTGTACCAAATTAATAACGTTTTGAATCGGATAAGAAAATACCTCCCACCTTGAAAGAAAATGATTAGGCGGATAGAAAAAAATGTTTTCTTTCAAAGCATTAAAAAATTAAAAAAGGGGTTTTTTCGATATGGAAGAATATATTAATATTTTTACTGTGCAGGACATCATTTGAATGCTGGCCAAGAGTTCGGCTCGGCGCACTTTGTGCCAAATAGCCAATGGCCAGAAACGGTGTGAGATCGAAATTTGTTGGAATGCAAATCAAATTAGACACACACACATACAGCGGCAGCAGCAGCAGGATGGGAGTCCTTCGACTACACTTCTGTTGGCGGAGCTCAAAGGCCGGATGCTTTTAATCAAAACAGCAATGCAGCTGGCCCCAGGACATCGGCTTTTTGCACGCTGTGCACCTCGAATCGGGAGCGGAAAATATGCTGCAGTTGGCCTAAGGCCCATGGTATCGACACACGGTTGCAGCGGCAGCATTTCCCACCCCCCTTTTTGCCGCCCTTCCAGCCCCTTTCCCATCCCCCCTCCCCCCCTTCTGCGGCATTCTCTTTTGCTCTCGATGAGCCTGATTGCATTGACCGTAGGATAAGACCAATTGGCGCCACCTGACGCTCACAAGTCGCGACTTCCTTGGCTTGCCTTTATCCTTCGCCTTTGGTCCTTCATCTCCTTATTCTCACTTTACTCCTCTGAGGAGGATTAATTGCCCGGAAGAAGTGGATGCAGCTGCGATCCTCCAAAATATTTTAAAGCTGGTTAATAAATAGCTTAAATATTCTAGATCTTAAATAGAAAGACTTATGGATCAACAAAATAAGACTATGTCTTTCAATGGTCACACATGCGCAGTGAATTATAATAAATTTAAATATTATTCCAAGTCTGATAAAAAAAAATACAAAATTCTGTAAAAAGGATAAACTATTAAAATTAGAAAATATTCATGTTCGTTTCTTAAATTCCAAAAATATTAGGACTTTTGAATTGCTGAATTGTAAACCTTTGTTTTAGGCCTGTTTTTTAAACGCTTTTCTATGTCTTAGGCTTAAATCAAAGCGAAAAAAGTAGGAAAAACAGAAAAGCAGGGAGAGAAATGTGCAACTATTGCCCTAACGAGCAACAAGGTGCCACGCCCCGTTTGTCTGGTCTTGTGTTCCGTTCATTTGCCTAGCCTCCCTTCCCCTCCCCCGCACTTCACCCACTCCATCCACTCCACCCACTTCCGGTCCGCTCCTGCAGCTACTTCCGTTTGTCCAGGACATTCTTATCAGCGTCGCACGTTTTTATCATAAATTTTACACTTCGCTTGCAATTTTTCGCTCGATTTTTGTGGGCAAGAACGACGAAATCAGCGCTGGTTTTGGTAGGGGCATAAAATGTCAGACGACCCCATCGGATTTTGACTCTGGAGCGGTCCTTGTTGAGTTTTGTGTCCCATTAAAATACTTTATGCGAGGAAGGTTATGGGTACATTACGTAATTCTTGTTTGGGCAGTGGAGAACACAAGTGTTGGCCCCCATTTATTGTTTATCAATTTTACGAGTGCGGCAATAAACGCAACCGAGGGTGTACAGAGTTCAAGGAAGGGAAAACTTAAAGTGCGATTTTTGAAAAGAAAGAACAGAAACACTTTTTGTTTGTTACAGAATTAAATCTGTTTTTAATCACTAACTTTTATTTTTTTTCTTATATATTTTTATAGTTTCTTTTTTTTACAATACTTAACTTCCTTTTACTTTTACGCTTTAGTGACAAGAATGTTTTTAAGCAAATATATTAATTGTTAATATCTAAATATTTTTTTGATTAAGTTAGATAACTGCATAGGTAACATATAAAATCATAAATATTTATAGATTTCTCATTTATTCCATGTATTTTTTTTTATTTCTACGAGTTCGCCAATTTAAATTTTTATCCAATTATATAAATCCAGCTATTTCTCAGTTTTTATCTCTGTGAAAAGTTAATTTTTCATTTTAAAAGTTAGTAACTCTGACTGATTTATGGATAAAGTATTATAACACTCTATGTCCAAAAAAAAATGTTGGTTTCAGCACTTAAGGATTTTATAGAAAAGTAAAAAAAAACACTGATAGCACATAGCCATATCTTTAAAAATCGAATCTCTGGCAGTTTGCAAGGCTTACTGGCCTTACACTTTGCATTATTTTTATGAACGCTCTTCCTGGCTCAACTCACACGCTGATTGGTATAATGACGATGATTATTGGCCCACTTTACAAAAGGGCCAAACAGAACGTTGCGTATACGCCGCGTCTGCCATTCAACTCGAATGATCATTGCACTGCGGGCGATGGACACTTGTGCAAATGAAGTGTGTACACAAAGTATCATTCACGCTATCATTGACACCAAACAAGAGGGTGAAATACCGGGGAGCTTCACTGTGGCATCAGAAACAGCAATAAAAACCAGTTTGTTAACGCAGTCAAAAGTTGTTGGCAATCGAATGTTGAGATTCATTTTTTTGCGGCCTCGCCAGTAAAATAAAATATATTTTGCCAGTCGTTGTATGTAAGTAGTAAAACATGCATTTTGCATTCATTCATATCCAGCATTAAAATGCTCTTATTTTTTCAGCAGCGTTCTCGTTGTCCGTCTGTATTGTACCGATGCACAAATATCGTGGGTAAAAAGTCAATATAATAAAAACCCATGTATTGCATTCGATTATTAAATCGAAAAAAGCGTTAAAAAAGAATAATGGGGCAAATGGGAGCAGATATTTTTTATTTATTTGTAAAGTGTTGATTTTTGTATTTTTGAAAGATTTGTATAAGTAAGTTAGAGATTAAACGCATGCTTATTTCAAAAATATCATAATATTAGGAAGATATTACATATAATTTCGATATTTAATGAATACTTTTACATGTTTCGCCATCCCTTCTTGCAATTATTCATATCCAGAATTAAAATGTTTTTATTTTTTGAACAGAACTCTGTACATTCGCTTCTTTTTCTGTCTGCCGGTTGAAATTATCGCAAGTAAAATTTATGATTATGCAGCTCAAGAGGCGCCAGAGCGAGAAGGGGCGATGGGGAGCGAGTGGGAGGGAGAGGGAGAGGTAGCTGGCATGTAATTGCTGCCGGCTCTTTTGCAGCCATTATTGCCACGCCCCCTTCCCCTTCCCCGAGACCACACCGCCCCCGCCGTAAGCCACATCAAAGTGCAATTTTCGCAGCAACTTTTATTGCATAGATATTAAAAAATTCCCCCACCAACGAAACGGCTCATCCCCATCATTAACATCATCATCATCAGCTTTTCCCTGGCATTTAATTGAAAAGTGAAATTGATTTCTTCTCTCCGGCACTTCTTCGTCTTTCCATTTCTTCTACTCAAAAGAAAATTGTTTTGTTTCGTTTGGCTTGTGCATTAATTATGGAAAATCATATTTTTGATATTTGCACGCAGACATTTTGCCAATTGCACTCATTATTTGCCATTTTCTTTTGTTTTAATTGCTGCATTTTTCCTTATTATTTTTTTTGGTTGTGCGTTTGTGCAACGGCCACTTCCATTTGTGGCCACAATTATTTCCATGGAATATTAAAATGATACATACCACTATTCCTCGACATGCTCCTCTTTTCTCTTGTTTTTCACCATTTTTATTTTTCCTGCCCATTTTCGGTGCTTAAAAATTCCATTAACTTGCACAAGCAACAATTTTTGTATACTAAATTGAGGAAAAGTCTTAAATATTTGCGTTGAAAGGTATGTTTTAAATTTTTGTGAATTTTGTGTTTTCTTTAAGCCGTAAATTTCAAAAGTTAAAACCAACAGTGAATTCAAGAGTTTCTGATTGTTTAAAATAATAAATAAGAAGTTATTATTGAAATTGAATCAAAGTTTTAGTCAAAGAGATATTATTAAACAGTTATGTGAGACACACAAATGTTTAATTACTGGCAACACACATTTTGAACGCTTCATTTATATTTATATAACTTAAGTACTAGTTGAAATCACTTTGTGAAAGTTGGCCAAAATACGAGAAGTGTGGGTTGACAAGCAATAAACAAACTGTTTGTTGTGTTCCTTTATATTCCATCCAAACTATATATGTGTGACACTTGAGAACAAGTTGAATTTATTTGCGCTCTTCTTTCTCGCTTAAAAATGTTTTTCTTTCAGTGGGGAAGAACCAAAAAAAAACTTTCAACTGGCGGAGGAGAAGCACCGAAACCAGAAACCAGAGACAGGAAAACTCAGCAGCAAGCAAAGTGTTGCATACTTGGCAGTTGAATACTTGGCACAAATAGAAGAGTGTGAAGCGAGGATACGGATACGGATATATCTATTTATATATATATTTATATATATATATATACCCGCCACTATATAGACGGGGAGTAGCGACAACGACAGGCAACATGCCGTCGTCAGCAATAAATAAAACAGCACGCAGTGTTGCCAATACGATCCAATTGCTGGCAATCGTTCTCTATTGCTGTTGTCTGGTGCATGGACAACAGCAACAACAGCAGCAACAACAGCAGCAGCAACAGCAGCAGCAACAACAGCAGCAGCAACAGCAGCAACAACAGCAGCAACAGCAGCAGCAACAACAGCAGCAACAACAGCAGCAGCAGCAGCAACACCAACAACCACAGCAACACTTGAAGTACCAGCAACTGCAATATCAAATGCAGCAGCAATATGAATACCAGCAGCAGCAGCACTACCAGCAGCAGTTCCAGCAGCAACAGCAACAGCAGCAACATCTGACACCCACGGCAACACTTGGCCACCAGCAGCAGCAGCAGCAACACGATGAGCAAATCGACTTGCTGTCCACTCAGCCAACTCAGGTGAGTGATAATCACACCGACAGGCAATCATAATTTATAACAATTATTGTGGGGAAAAGTACAAGGGTAGGGGTTTTCGGTTGCGGAAAAATAAAGCCGGCTCATTGTGTAATTAATTGAACTTTGGGACCTGGCCAGAGCTGCCACAGCTGCCACAGTTGCCACACATCTGACTCTCTCTCTCTCTCTGCCGGCAAATTGAATTTGATTCCAGTTCGCTACCAGGAGCAGCTGCAACTGCTTAAAAACCAAATCCCCTATTGCCAACTTTTCGTTTTCCCGGCTTCGGCTTTTCCAGGAGATTGGCCCACAGCCAGCCAGTGAACCTCAAGTTCAATAAGCTGATTAACTGAATGAAATCAGCAATGAAAATGAAATAGAAAGTGCCTCCAGCTTTTTGGCTTGGCTTCTTTTGTTGCGTTGGACCACCAGGCCAACCAACCACCCACTTACTAAAGTTGCCACCAAAGTAACCACTTCTGGCAGCCGCACTTCTGGCAATTTGCGGCTGTTAAATGATTAATTTGTTTTTGATAGACTTTAAGTTATATTTAATTAGCAGAGCAAGAAAGAAAACGAAACGGAAAGGAACTTTTCTCCGAGGAAGCTTGCATTAAAAATGAGTTGGCAACCCAGTTGGATGAATGTGAAACAGTCTGGTAAGATTAAGTTTCAGCATCGGATAATGGATAATGGATAATGATAAGCAGGCGATGTAGAAAAGAAATAAACCAAAACCCTTTCTTGCCTTTAATTTTCTATCTAAGAAGGTTGGCAACTCTGTTAAGCAAACACAAACGCATCTGGCAACTTTATTTTTGGGTTGACTATTAAAAGAATTCGAGGAATTAGACAATATTGTCGGTAATTAGGCAAAGCAATGTTAAACAAAAAAGTTTATTTAATGAACACTTTAGATAATTGAGTTGACAATTCTGTCAATGTGTAAATAACTTATACTTAAACGATTAATCGAAAAGTTACAAAAGAATTTCTTCAACCAATTCAATTATTCTCAAATCTAGTTTTTCTAACCTCAATTGACAGCCTGGCAACCCTATAAGTTCACTTTTCAGATTCGAAGATTAAACAAATGTTTTGACACTGTAAGGCATTTCAATTGGTGTGCCTGTTTTTTTGTGTTTTTTTTTGGCAAGACAATTCTCCATTGGGGTGACAACTCTGGCTGCGGCAGGCCTGTTAATTTCACACACGATTTGCTGCTTAGTTTTTGCACTTTCCACACTCCTGTCAACTGACTTCTGACAGCCTTGACTGCCATTCGTGCCCCTCCTCGCCGCTTTTGGACAAAAGGGGCGCCGGGCTTTTGTCAGGGACACAACCACCGACTTGCAAACCCACCGCAACCCTGGCCCCTTTTGTCATCCCGCCGAATCTGAAACCCAGAGCTCTAAACCAACTTTGCAGGACAAAACGTGGCAGCGTTTTGTAGATTTTTAAGTCCCATAAATTTTAAGTGTCAATATATAAAACCGCATATGTGCGGGGCCAACAATGGATGCGCCACATGGCGGTGGGCGGTTCAAAGAGAGGAAGGGGCGTGGCATGGTGGGGCAAGGAATGGCAGCGAGTCGAAATTCATAAATTCAAGCGTGGACGAAACGAAATGGTAAAATAAAATGCAACCAGCAGAAGTAGAAGCATGAGCCGTTTTGGCTCGGACTGCGAATGTCCTAGGGGTGGAACCTTCAAGGGAAATATCAATGATACCTATTAAATTATCACAAAAATTTCGGATGAAATAAAGAAAGTTTTGCCATATAAAAGCCTTTTGGCTTAGGGATTAAAATATGTAGTAAAATTTACATTACATTATGATCTATCTAATTATCCCAAGAAATATATTGTATTTATTCCGAATAATCGCTAAGGCGAATAGCAGATCTTGATAACACTATGTTGTTGAGTGCTCTTTTCAAATCTTTTGCTTAAGAAACGTAAAATAATTTATAAAAATTGAATTGGTAAGGAAAAACTAAATGCTGCTAAAGTTAAAAGTTTGGTTGGTTTTCTTTTTTTTTCGAGGCTGAACCACAACCTATCGCATCGCTACATGTGTCACGCGACCATCCCTGGGGAGCCACACATAAATTATATGAATGAGGTTTTTTGCTTTATAGTTGCGCGTTCCGTGTCTGTGGCCGAGGGCCCTGGCCATTCGGGCCAAGCTCTCTGCTCCTGGCTCTGACCATGCCCCCTTTCACGCCCCACTAATCCCCCAGCTCCATGTGGCTTTTATTTTATTGCAAACTTCAAATAAAAACAGCAGCAAAAAGTTGTTAAAAGAAAACGCTCGAACCAAAAAAAGGCGAACAGCACGAGAGCGAAGTGGAAATATTGTATGAAATAAAAAACAACATCAACAATGCAATGCAAGTTCTTGGGAGGATGGGAAACTGATCCTGGTTGGGGGGTTTTTTCCGGAACTGTGTGACCAAATTTAAAACCAAGACGGGGGGCAATCAAATCAATTTCGACTAGCACTCCAGTCCATCGAGCCATGACCGCACCAAAATCGCCAGCGAGGAGTTCAAAGTGTTGGCATTTAATAATCGATGGGTTCATCAATCAAGCTCCCGCCTAGGCTTCATTTTTCAAACAGTTCGAATGAGTTGACTCAAATACCAACAGCTTAAAATTCAATAAAATTGCCACATTCCCAAGGGATTGATTTATTGAAAATGGCAGATGTAAGTGCTTGAGGTAATTTCTTGAAATTCAATACAATTTTCGCACTTTTTAACAATTGATTTATGAGGCGAGTATTAAATATTTCGAACAGGTGTGATTATAAGTTCTTTAGATTTTAATGTTGTGCTTTAACAAGGTAAGCAAACGAAAAGCACTTAAGGCAGCTCAGTTATTTAATTAAATGACTGTAAAATTAAATGATTCATGCGAACAGATTTGTACTATAAATTTGAATATGTCTTATGTAACATAACAAATTTAGCACAACTCAAAATATCATGAAATATGTTAAAGAAACCGAAGTAAATATTCACAACTGATTTTATATTTAATATTTTTTCAATTTACCTATTTAATATTAGTTCGAAGCTGACAAAAGCTTGACTTTTTCTTTCCCATTTGTTAAAATTTTAAGGAGAACGTCAAGTTTGCTATCAAATGAATTCTCCAAGTGGTTAATAAAACCTCTGATGATAGATTTATGAAGATTTTCGCAGCACTCACAGCAAATTATCTTGAAATTGTAATTACAAATTTTGTAGCATACTTATTAGGGGCAGCAGCTGAGACTTCCAGTGAAAAGGAGGTGGGTGGGTGGAAAATGGGCGTGAAAAATGGGGAAGTGCAGGGAAAACCCCGTTGAGACGGCGTGTCAGTCAGCGGCAAAGCTGAAAATCGCTAAAGATTAATGATGCAAAAAATTGAGCATCATTAAAGAAAGTGAAAATGGAATTAAGTGCAAGAGGGTGAAAGAGGAGTGATGATGGCAACGGGGGGAAGAGGGAAGTGCAGACATCAGGGAAGTGGCAAAAGCGGAATAAAAAACCACAGACACACACTCACACACACTCACACACACACACACACGGCGGGGGGGCAAAGTACGTGCAACACGCAAAGCGGAAGAAAATGGCGGCATAAAACTTAACAACAATAAGCGCCAGGCCAAAAACGAGCTGACAACAACAACAACGAAAACTACACCCATCTACAAGAACAACAAACAATGTTGCTGCACACATTTAGGTGGCTTTTTCCTATCCACAGAAAAAAAACATAAAAACAACAATTCTAATCTATCGCCAAAATTCGTTTAAATATAAATAAGAGCTGTATGGCATTTTAAAAAACGATTTTATTTGCAAAACGAGTCTTAAAAGCGTTCTTTATTAAGATTCTTAAAATTAATTATAATAAATAAGTATATTGATAAATATGTTATTAAATATATATTTTGTTGATTTTCCTTTTAATTTAAACTCTCTTAAATATTAACTGTAGACATATAAATGGTCTTTATTTTCTTTGTTTTTTTTTAAAAAGATTTCAGCCATATATCTGTTTAAAAGAAACTAATAGCTTATTGTATAACCAACATAATTCTTTTATTATAATAATAATATTTTTTAAGCTGTGTGTCTTTTCAATATTTATTCTAAATTTCTGTCACTTGTTCAGAACTTTATAGTTAAGACTTGACAATGTCTAAGGTAAAATCAAGTTTTATTTTCTGAGTCTGTGTGGGTGTGACCTCGAAGGTCTATCTGTGTAGCAAGTAGTTAGGCCAAGTGCCACGTACGTGCAGCGGAAGCGGAAATGGCAAATGCCGTCACAGAAACGCCCTCTGTTGGTGGGAAAGCATTAGAGGGGCATCACCAGGGGAATCCCCGCTAATGTCTTGAGCACGTTGTCTCCGTTGAACCCGTGGAACCGCTAACACCCCTAAAAACCCCTAAAACCCCAAAACCCCTGTCCCGATAAGCGGACTCAGACCAGCCAGCAAAACGATGCCAACAAGTTGGCCAGTTATGGCTCATGGCCCGAATAAGTCACTTGATAAACTATGGACAAGTTGCGAATTTTCGCACATCTTTGAGGGAATCTGCAAACGCGAAACTATATTGATTTGGCTTCAAAATATACCAGCCATCGAGTTGGGTGTTATGCAATGCAATATTTAAGCTTTACACTTCTGTTAGAAAAGTTTTAGGCCCAAAATTCAGTTAATGAACACTTTTCAGTAAAGGCATTTTTCGAAAAATTTAAAAAGGTTAAATCATAAAAATTAATGAAAAATCGAACCAATAATTCTTAAACAAACAGATTTTTAGAGAATTTAAGAAAAGTTATGGACTTAAAAGTGCAGGTTTTAGGTAACTTTACTGTAAAGACATTTTTCGAAAATTTCGACCAATTTTCAATCGTTTCTATCTTCCGATTTTTGTAAATGTAAAAATGTAGTTCTAGAATCGTTTAAAATTACTTTATCTGGGAGTATTTGGTGATGC